TTTGGGGTAATTGTGGCGAATCTTTAAGAGGCAATCTTCATAAACTCCAAAACTGAGCTGCAAAAGTTATTACAGGTGACTCATATAAAATACGCTCCATAGATATTTTAAAGAAACTAGATTGGAAAACGTTAGGTGAAAGAATGATGGAGCAACAACTAAATTATGTATCAAAAGCACTTACGAGAGGATGTCCACAAAAATCAAACATAAGGCGGCCACGACGGAAAAATCGATTTTGCTCAAATTTTGCCCAGATATACCTTATTATATCGGAAAATGCACCATATATTTTTTTAGGTCAAATGCTTTTTTAACTTTGAGAAAATGCCGTTTTAACACGACCACCCTAAATCGCCATTTTGTCTGGGAAAATATGCGCTGATTTTACCGACAAATTTCACGACGACAACCGTTTCTAATCGATCTAAAACCCTAAAAATCTTGTTTTCGGTTATTCAAAGGACCGGGTACGTGACTTACAGGAAATCTGAGTTACTTTTAGGAATAGAAATAATCGTAGTTTTGGAGCACACTATCTTACCTCATTTACGATACCCTCTTAACAAAACCGATTTTCACTATGGGATAAAGCTCCAAATCGATCATGCTTCTACTAGTTGGCTCTTTAATAAACAAGCTTTCAATTGACGTAAATACTTCTTTGGGCAAATGAATACGCGATAAACGACAGCGCGTTGAAATCGTCCGTTTTTGACGTCTTGCAAGTCAAACGCTGTTAATTTACATACCGTCGAAGTAAACAATTTAATCAAGTATTTTAAGTATTTTACCTTTTGATAAGAAGATATATTCTTGAATGGAGACTTTTTGCCTTGCTAAGTTTAAAATTGGTCCAGAAATCCCGATATATTTGTGAAATATCATCATATACAGGTATTTTGAGATATAATATTGTTGTCAGTTGCATGATAACTTCAGATCACTGTTCAATATTGTCTACTTTTAATAGCGCTAACATACAAAGCGATGAGCTGTTTAGGGATTATATTTGTTACTAAATTTACCAAAATAATTAGAACTACAACTGCTGTTTTCAGAGGTTTTGTTCCATTTTGTCCATATTATTAAATTAATGTACCAGTTATGTATCGACTTTAATGTTTACGAAGACGTAAGTTAATTATTAAGCAGGTGTTAGCGTGCGTGTACATGAAATGAACGTTTATAATGTTTATCAATATAAGGAGTTTTTATTTTTAGTTTACCAGCCCTTATATTTGAATAGCCGAATTCATATTAGGGACGCGAAACTCGTCTTAGACGGAAACTCGTCTGTGAAACCCCGCCTGAATATGAATTTAGGGACGGATAAATTCGAATTTAAGACGAGTTTCCCGTCTAATATGAGTTTCCCGTCTCTAATATGAATTCGGCTAATGTGTGTTAAAACTGCAAGGTCATTAAATCTCATTAAAATCCCACAGACCACAACGATTATACGTATTGATTGTTTCTTGACGATAGTAGACGCGTACGCATGCATGTTGCGTAAGAGGTTATTTCGCTGGCCTCAGAATGACAAAACGTAACAAAGCTTTAAGGCCCGGTCACACTACACAACGATAACGATACGATAAATTGTAAACACGCGATAATTGGCAAAAAAAATTGTGTTAGTGTCCACACAACAACGAAAATGATAAAATTATCGTTAGACGATAACGATAACGATTTTAAAATCGCTCACCTGAGCGATTTTTTTTTCAGCCGGACGATAACGATAAATTTTTGACCAATCAGCGCGCGTATACAAGTTATCGTATCGTTATCGTTGTGTAGTGTGACCTGGGCTTTACACTAACCCTATTCCAAACACCAACTTTATAACTTAAATCCCTACGATAACCCTTGCTCGTTATTAAATAACATACCGTAGTAAATAATTTAATCACCATTTCTAAGTCTTTTACTTTTTCGGGACAAAAAACTACTTGAAAAAGACCAGGGCTTTAAAAATTATTTGAAGTAGATAGTTATGATAAGACAGGGGTAGCGTCAGGGCCGCCCTTGGAGGGGGGGGGGGCAAAGGGAGCAATTTTCTCCGCGACCGCAGCTCAAGGAGGGCCGGCAAATACAAATTTGCAAGGGGGTAAAAAGTTTGTCGACGGAGGGGTGGGAGGAGAATTATTGTGGTTCACCGGGGCCCCAAAGATATAATTGGCCCTGGGCCCCCATATTTCACTGAGCTGGCCTGGGCTGCGCCAGTAATTCTCCGACGGGGGAAGTCATCGGTGCTCTCTTTCGTTCTTTGGCAATTGGCATTAAAACCACAAGAACTACCGACAAGTGACCAGGGCCGGATTAACGTCGCGCGAGGCTCGTGGCAGATTTTAGCGCGAGGCCCCCAACCCCCTCCCCCCCCCACTCTCCGCCTTGTTATGAAAATCTTTGAATTTAAAGACACACAAAATTGTTAAATAATTTTTTTCAATATTTCAATTTATTAGCATCAATTATAAACGAGACAATGGCCTGCCTGGCCCAGTTGTTGGGTCAACATGTATCAGAACAGGATCATAATATAACAGCTCACGCAACTGGAGATTACATGCACACGAGTATTGCATATCTTCCCGGGGCCGTGCTGGGGCCAACTGCCAAGCCTAGGGGCCCTAAATTCGCGAGGCACCTAAAATGGGTGTGTCCCAACAGAAAATGGCCGTGTTCTCGTAAAAATGGGCGTGGCACAGTAAAGCGCAATGCCCCCATAAGCGCGAGGCCCGTGGCATTTGCCGCATCTGACACATGGTTAATCCGGCGTTAGACTAGCAACAAGCTTCCATTTTTTTTAAACGCGACGTGTGGGGAGACAATAATAATTTCTGGTGTCGCACTGGGGTAACATATCTCAATGCTGTATTTTTGGGTTACTAGTACTTGTGGAATATAATAAGATCAATAAACAATAGTGTATCAAAAGAAAGTAATTTTACTGATTATTTTAACTGAGCATCAAAGTGAACACACATTAAAATAATTATTCTAAACTATTGCTATAATTTGAGTTTGAGGTGGTAGAATATGTAATAAAATAACAAACCTTGTATGGATTAATGTTCATTTCACACGCACGCTATTAACAGCTGCTTAATAATTAACTTATGTATTCGTAAACATTTATACTCGATAGCATAGTCGATATGTAAAAGCTTGTAAAATGGTACATTATATGGATCAAACTGGAACAAAACAACAACTGAAGTTCTAATTTTGGGAAATTTAGTAGCAAATATAATCCCTAAACAGCTCATCGATTTGTATGTTAGCGCTATTAAAAGTAGACAATATTGAACAGTGATCTGAAGTTATCATGCAACTGACAACGATATTATATCTCAAAATACCTGTATATGATGATATTTTACAAATAGATCAGGATTTTTGGACCAATTTTAAACTTAGCAAGGCAAAAAGTCTCCATTCAAGAATATATCTTCTTCTCAAAAGGTAAAATGCTTAGAATACTTGATTAAATTGTTTACTTCGACGGTATGTAAATTAACAGCGTTTGCTTGCAAGACGTCAAAAACGGACGATTTCAGCGCGTTGTCGTTTATCGCGTATTCATTTGCCCAAAGAAGTATTTACGTCAATTGAAAGCTTGTTTATTAAAGAGCCAACTAGTAGAAGCATGATCGATTTGGAGCTTTATCCCATAGTGAAAATCGGTTTTGTTAAGAGGGTATCGTAAATGAAGTAAGATAGTGTGCTCCAAAACTACGATTATTTCTATTCCTAAAAGTAACTCAGATTTCTTGTAACTCACGTACCCGGTCCTTTGAATAACCGAAAACAAGATTTTTAGGGTTTTAGATCGATTAGAAACGGTTGTCGTCGTGAAATTTGTCGGTAAACTCAGCGCATATTTTCCCAGACAAAATGGCGATTTAGGGTGGTCGTGTTAAAACGGCATTTTCTCAAAGTTAAAAAAGCATTTGGCCTAAAAAAATATATGGTGCATTTTCCGATATAATAAGGTATATCTGGGCAAAATTTGAGCAAAATCGATTTTTCAGTCGTGGCCGCGAAATATCTCATATGTTCGATTTTTACTGACATTCACTCTTAAATGGTTTTAGCAGCATATCCGGTTGCCTGTTATGTATTTTTCTTCTCTTTTACATTCTTTATTTTAACACAAAGCCACGAAAACAGTAGTTTAAATAGTATAAATTTGTGCCGCCATTTTCTTTATTTATGTACGTAGCCGGTCTGGGCGGGCAACAATTTTTCACTTATTGCCGGGGCGGGATACATTGCATTTATCTAAAGCCACGTGACTACAAATCAGCCAATCACGTTTGGTGTTCTCACTAGCTATATAACAATAACTGTTATTGACTGTGCTTATAGACAGCAAAGGCAGTCATTAACATGGCCAAAAGTAGTTACCCTGGATTCCAGAGCCTTCGACAGTAAATAATAAATTCAAACGTCGTGAAGGCTCTGGTTCAACGGGCCGCACCAATCACAAAACAGAATTAGTGGTTTTAGTACAGAATCTGTACTAAAACTACTAATTCTGTTTTGTGATTGGAGCGGTTTAATCAAAGAATCTCCCCGTTACCAGAGCCTTCGCGACGTTTCAATTTATTATTTACTGTTGAAGGCTCTGGAATCCAGGGTAAAAAGTAGTTAAAGTACAATTACAAGTACGGAATATCATTACGTAAATAACAATTTGATATTACCTTAAAAACAAAGCTATCTATTTCTGACCAATGGGAATTTTGCGTACGAATCATCTACATAAATCCTTTTTACTGAAGCCTGAGCGAGCGTAGCAGCAGCCTAATATATGCAGAGAGGGGGTTTTGAACTAAATTTTATTTAGCGCATGGAATTGTGGTCGTGCGCGCTTTCTATGCGCAGAGACAAATTTTAAACTCGCTCAGTCGCTCGAGTCTGCGAATTTTTATGGAATTTCTAAAGTTTTTTCAAGTCTAATGTTACGCTTACATTTGTTTTGGACTTTGGCCACTGTCAGTTCTATATTTTTATAAAGTTTTGGTTTCTTAGTGTGATAAATCTGTGTATATAGTCTACAGTATATATAATAAGGTAAATGCGCCTAGCAGTAAACAGACTTGAAAATTTGATCTTAATTTACCTGTATGTCAATGAGACGCACATGTTTAATATCTGTCACCTCTGATTGCCCTTTAATCCCTGGTCTTTGCTACTTCAATCCACGGTTAATGTGCTTCAATATATATTGCTTAATTCTTTTCAGTTCCATTCACAGCTCACTATAGTCGCTGCGAGTAATTACTGTGCCTGATATAATTTGTGCTGCTTACTGTAGTTCTATTTGCTTTTAATGCCCGCAGCAATCCCTACCTTGCAGGTACCCTAGTTTCAAGCATAGAACCTGACACGTTAGTTAATTTTAATAACCCATTGAGTTGCATTCTACTGCTTAATTTCAATACATTGTTTTCACCATTGTGTTTATACCCCCTTGCAAATTTACCTATACTCTATAGAAAATTCCATCGTGTTTGCATCCCTTGCACTTTGTGTTTCATGATGGCATCTTCACCTTGAAACTTGAAAGAGTCTATCACTGTGGCTCCAACATTTCGGCGTTAGAAACACAATACATTGATCATGAAATGACTGAAATATTACAGATTTACAAGCCTGACACCTAGCGGCAAAGTTTAAATTTCACACAAGTAGTGGTGAATGATGATCACTGTGGTTGTATTTCGGTCTTATTAGGCTACACCATGTTCTTTTGACCGCCTATCCGTAACAGGATTATTTGCACCAACAGCCGTAAAAAAACACCCAAATAAACAGCAGTTTGCGAATATTATTGTTGCGATTTGCAAAGATTGCCGTGCCCGTTCCAACTTTGTAAAATTGAAAATTGTGAACTTCTGTCCTCTATTTCAAGGCTACAGCCTTCCATGTTTACTCACATAAAGTGACTTTCGCTTTCTAAAGTCTGGTTCATCGGAAAACTTTTAAGTTTTATCGGAAAAATAAAAAATATGTACAAAATCGATTAAATTGATACTATTCGCTCAGAGTAAGCGGCCATCTTGAATTCAGCGACGAATAGTAATGACGTAATTTTTATTTTTTATTAATGAATAATGACGTAACGTTCATTTTGTGGCTAACGATCCAAGATCCGACACAAATGCGTGCCGAAACCTAGAGTCGCTGCGGCTGTGCCCCAGCGACTAATAACTCCTATAAACGAAACAGACAACGAAACGTTACATGGTACAACCCCCCTTATAGCAAAAACGTTAAGACCAATGTAGCACAGGCATTCCTAAACCTAATTGACAAGCATTTTCCTCCCTCAAACAAACTGCACAAACTTTTCAACCGCCACACAGTCCGTGTTAGTTACAGTTGCATGACAAACATGAAAAATCTCATCCGTAAACATAATCGTAAAATGGGTTCGATTCCCGTTGGGAGTTCAGATATTTTCTGAATACAAGCTTGAGCAACAATCTTTACTTCATATACTATATATATATATACTATACATATACTATATACTATATATATATACTATATATATATATACTATATATATATATACTATATATATATATATACTATATATATATATACTATATATATATACTATATATATATGTACTATATATACACTATATATATATATATATATATATATATATATATATATATATATATATATATATATATATATATATATATATAAATATATATATATATATATATATATATATATATATATATATATATATAATATATATATATATATATATATATATATATATATATATATATATATATATATATATATTTAATTGATTTGAAGATTTGTAATCCAGGCATTTTATTAAATTGTAATTTTTATAAACATGATTTGCCAATAAGCTTATGAATTATTAATGAGTGTTTGAAGGTGTGATAATGCACGCGGGGAATGCTCAGATACGACTCGAGCTCATGGTATATATATATATATATATATATATATATATATATATATATATATATATATATATATATATATATATATATATATATATATATATATATATATATATATATAAAATATATATATATATATATATATATATATATATATATATATATATATATGTTATATATATATATATATATATATATATATATATATATATATATATATATATATATATATATATATATATATATATATATATATATATATATATATATATATATATATATATATATATATATATATATATATAAAATTATAATTTTTACAAAATTATACAGTTTTCTCCGGATTGTAATTATTTGTTTTGAGCTTTCGACTCGGTACTTCGAGCCTTCATAAGAAAGATTGTTCATTTGAATTTTTGCGCTGTTGTTGACGCTGTTGAAGTCTGCGGGAACGTCTGATTGGTTGATGGATTTCAGTATATTGGTTGCCATTGGTTACTATCGAATGCGGGTGATTATTGCTATCATGAGACGGTGTAGGAAAGGAAGTTGAGGGTGGGTTAAAGGTTAATGAAGATGAATAAGGAGATTTGTGTGAGCGTTTCTGTTGTAATATATATTTAATAGATTTGCAGATTTGTAATCCAGGCATTTTATTAAATTATAATTTTTGTAAACATAATTTATAAATAATTAGTAATAAAGATAATAATAATAATAATAATAATAATAATAATAATAATAAAAATAATAATAATAATAATAATAATAATAATAATAATAAAGATAGTAATAATAGTAATATTTAGTAATAAAGATGCCTAGTGGATTTTGTTGATTTGTTGTACCTTAATTTAAATATGCTCCGGTTTCCCATTGAGCATATACATATAAAATAGTCTGTGTTAGGTTATAAAAACCAATGATAGAGTGCTCAATGGATAATCTTTCTTTCTATATATATATATATATATATATATATATATATATATATATATATATATATATATATATATATATATATATATATATATTTTCATATATATATT